GAGAAAACTAAGATCCAGAGAGGTTAGGATGAGGATTAAATGATCTCACATGGGCAGCATTTGAAAGTGCTGGCACACAGTAAGAGCTCAGTAAATGATAGCTCCTCCTAATAAGAAAGATAAGGTACTGTACTGACCTTGCCTTCATGGTGCCTAGTTTACTGGAACATATAGACTCATCCAGGCAATTACAAGACAGTGTGTTATGACAGAGAAAGTCCATTGATACTTGATACTCTGAAGTATCAAGACTTTCTAGAGAAAGCAAAAGTGCCACAATGAGTTACATGTAGAACATGGCAAACACTAAAAAACATTCCTTAAATATGGAAACGAGTGAAGTGCATTCATTTTGCTAAGGGGTTAGTTAAGATTTGGCATAAAAGGGAGTGGGGGTGGGGAGGATGTCACAGGCTGAAGTAAAAGCACGGGCAAAGGCCCAGAGGTGAGAGAATGTGTGCCACGTTGGAGGAGCTGAAAGTCAGGAATGGCTGGAGAGTGGGGTGCTGGGGGAGGAGAGATATGAGGTTGGAAAGTGGAGTTGAGGCCTCCTGGGCATGGAGACCTCATAAACCAACTGGGAGAGTGATGAGTGTTCAGTAACATGATAATGATGGTATTTGGTTGCAGCATGGAGAGTGGAGTAGAAGAGAAGCTGAATAGGTAGTGAGGGAGCCCATGCATGGGCAGGGGAGCAGACAGGACAGACTGGTAGGAGGCAGACCTGAACGGACTTGAAGATGGGCTGGGCTTGGGGGAATAGGAGAGATGGAGTCAGGGTAATGATGAAGTTTTCTTCCTTGGGAAACTTGGGTGTATTTTGCCATAGTTCTCTGAGAAAAAGAACATGTGAGGAGGCAAATAAGGTTGTAAGAGATCTGATGGGGCATAGCCAAGACCTTCATTTGTGGACATGTGGAGTCTGAGGGGCCTGCGAGGCATCAGAGAGGAGATTGCCACTAAGCAGATGGATACATGGATGTGGGGCTCAGGAAAGAAATCTGGTTTGAGATAGTGATTTGAGAGTTTTTAAAACAGAAGTGGTCATCAAAGCCATGAAATTAGGCAGGATACATAGAAATATCGAATGGAAAGATAGGGAGGCCCTGAAATGTTGCCAAGGGATATTTAAGGGATGGTAGAGGGAGAGACAAAGAAAGAGCAGCCACAGAAGTTGGACAAAGCCAAAGGATAACACAGAGTTATGAAAGTCAAAGGAAGACCGTGCTTCAAGAGAGTGGGAACTATCTTCTCTAACAAATGCCACTAATGGGTCAAGTAAGATAAAGAGTGTAGCATAATGGTTAAGCACACAGGCTTTGGAGTCAGACTTCCTAGGCCTGTGTGGCAGATCAGGAGAAGCAAACACCCACTTGGAGCTGCTCATACACCAGTAAGTGACAGTTCCAGGGCTCAGTCTTTATCTGGGGCCTATACAGAGTTCAACTTGGTCATCCTGACTGTCAAGTGAGGAGTGCTGGAGTCCTAAGCCCACAGGATATTCCCACCTGGCCCAGGATTTTGAGCTGCAGAGCCTGGATCTCTGTTTACAGAACGTGACCACACTTCAGCAGCAGCTACAGAAAGGCCGGCTGCTCATCAAGCAGCAGCTGGCAGAGTGTCAGCAGCAGGAGAACCTCATTGAGACCCTGACCAAGCAGCGGGATAACCTGCAGGCTCAGCACGAGGCTTTCCTGGAGCAGGTGGGCTCTTCCTGCTGCCTGCCCTGCACTGGTCCTCTCCTGTGAGGGGACAGCCTTTCACAGGAGAGATGCCCAGAGGAGAGAATGGGATGGCTTGTCATGGAGTCTTCTGGGGGAGGGGAAAAGGTAATAGGATGACTTGAGGAACTACCCTCATGGGAACCCCCAGGAAGAAGTGATCCCTCCTGGCAACACCTTGAAGGAAGAGGACACTCTGGGAACTCACTTCCAGAGTGCGTCTCTCCTCATTTAGATGGGTAAGGCCTTCCTGGGACCCCTGAGCCAGCTGCAGGTGGCTGACTTTGAGGAAATAAGGAGCTATCGAGCACCACCAGAATCAGTGATCCAAGTGACCGATGCACTGTGCGACCTGTTCCACTGTGAGACAGGCTGGGCCAATGCCAAGCAACTCTTATGCACTGAGGATTTTTACCAGGTAGGGAATGTGGAGCTCAATGGAGGAGGAGAGTGGAGGCCTAAGGAGGGGGGGGGGGCGCTGGCGGAGTGAGGTGGTTGGGGCAAGGTTCTGAGCAGAGCACCTTTACCTTTACCTCTCTTAACACACTTTCCCAGGAGCTGGTGTTCTTCCCTAAGGAGAAGATGACAGACTCAGAGATGATAAAGCTAACCCAAGCTCTGAATGCTCCAGGTATGAGTGATGCAGCTCTGCGGGCAGTAAGCATACCCGCAGCAAACCTGGCCGCCTGGCTCTGGGCTGTTCTGCGCTATGGGCTGGCCCAGCGCCGAGGACTACCCACGGGCCTGCTTCTGCGGCAGATAGAGGCCACACTGGCTCGGGAGCAGGCCCACCTGGGCCGCTGCCAGTTCCAGGCCCAGGAGACCCTAGAGCACAATTTGGATCTGGCCAAGACACTGGAAGAGGCCCGGGCTTCAAGCAACCAGATGATAGAGAACCTCAGTCAGGCTCAGTGTGGCCAATATCACAAGTGGCCCATCAAGGCTGCACTGCTCACACCCGTGCACTCCTGGACTACAGAGCTCCAGGTAACCAGCCCCTCCCGGATTACCCCCTTAAGTTCATTTCTGCACTACTGCCCCCAACTCCTTGGCTCCTCCCTGGGCCCTCCCTGCCACACTTTCCTGCACACCCTGCCTCACTCCTTCTCTGCCTGTACCTTCCTCGCTGGCCCACAAGCCCTCCCCTCTCCCTTCTCATGCCAGAAGTTGAAGGGGCACTGCCTGACTGTGTTCGGAGACGCCCTCCTGTGTTCAGCTGCTATCATCTACCTGGGTCCTTTCCCGCCGGTGCGGCGCCAGGAGCTACTAGACAAGTGGCTGGCTCTGTGTAGGGGCTTTCAGGAGACCCTGGGTCCAGATGATGTGGCACAGGCATGGAAGCAGACGCAAAAATCTGTCGTCACGCCACCAAAGAACCCCCTGCTCTCCATACGCTCTCCCTTCAGCCTTCTGTCCTTGCTGAGCTCTGAATCTGAACAGCTCCAGTGGGACCGAGACTTGAAGCCCCAGGCGAAGTCAGCCCGCCTGGCAGGCCTGCTTCTGAGAAGCAACACCCACTACTCCAGTTGCCGTTGGCCTCTAGTGCTTGACCCCGACAACCAGGCCCTCATCTGGCTGAACCCGCTGCCTCAGCAAGAGACTAGATCCTTGGTCCCAGGCCCCACTGAGCACAGAGGTAAAGCCAGGGATGATGAACACAATGCTTTTCGGGTCTCTGAACTGCCAACACTTGGCCACATGTGGTCTTCCCTTTCATAATGAAGACACTAAATTTTTGTGGCCAGGGTATCCTAGACTTCATCAGCCCATATGATATTAATCAATTAGGTCACATTTGCATCTTAGGGCCTATTTTGCAATGATTCTGAATCTACATGGCTGACCAGTCTATGATCTTCCACTTCCCTGGTCTACCCAGCACTCTTAGAAACTTGGCCTACAACTCAGAACCTTCCTTACTATCCAAATTTACCCCATGTTCAGGAATTCTGGGGAAATATTTCTATTAGCTCTGCTCGGAGCAGAGACCCATCTGGGTAGAGTATCAGAAGGATGTGTTTCCTAGGGGAAGGAAATAAGGGTGTATATTTTCTAGAAGAGGTTGGGAATGGCACTGGGGAGAATAATAGACATCTATAATGGACTAGGTATGTAATAAAGTGGTCTGTAATATGGGCTCTATAATCAGACTGTCTGGGTCAAATATCTGTTCTTTCCTAGCTGTGTAAATAGGGCAAGGTACTTAATCGCTCTAAGCCCAAATTTATTTGCAATAAAATGAGCATCTTAATTATACCCATCTCATAAAACATATTAAGATAATTCATGTAAAAGGGATTTACACAGTGCCTAAAAATAATAAGTTCCCCAAAATGTTAGTGTCACTACTAACGTATTACTGCTACCATTATTCTACTCCATCCCTTGGCTGTCCAGCACAACCTTCCATTGTGCCCATACCCCATTACACAAATGCCCATGACACAACTATTCCATGTAAGTGAATTTACCCCCTCTCTAATAAGAGGCACCCTGAAGAAACCTCCAGCTGTAGCGTCCAATTCTGAGTCCACGAATTCTTGATCAGACCCAGATTTGGCTCTTTGTGGTTCTGTAACCTATGATAGAGTGAGTACATGCTAAATCTCACCCTAGTAATACACCTGATACGCAGAGTGAAGCAAAATCAAACCGAGATAACTACAGTAAATGTCCTGTTTAGAAACTGGGTAAGGGTAAGAAACACACACTTGTCTATTAGTCTTCAGCATGTGCTGTGTGACACCAGACAGTGACAGTAAAGAGAATGATTAGCGGGCGCCTGGGTGGCTCCATGGGTTAAGCCTCTGCCTTCGGCTCAGGTCATGATCTCAGGGTCCTGGGATCAAGTCCCGCATCGGGCTCTCTGCTCAGCGGGGAGCCTGCTTCCCCCCCCCCCCCCCTGCTGGCCTCTCTGCCTCCTTGTGATCTCTCTCCATCAAATAAATAAATAAATAAAATCTTAAAAAAAAAAACCAGAATGATTAGCATCACTTTACTGGCTATAGCGGGAGTTCTTGGATAGCCACTTTGGCTGTCCTGAGTTTTTTGTTTGTTTGTTTGTTTGTTTGTTTTTTCCAGTGCAGATAAATACAGGTTTAATGATCCATTGTTCTTCACATAGATGGCTACAGAGACTTTATAATCCCAGGATACACAACCATACAACAAAGACCAATCAGCCAATTCTCAAATAAACTTGGCTTCTGTTACAACTATCTTGTAAACACTGCAGCCTTTCTTCCATCCAAAATGACATTCATCTCACATGAAAAGTTATTATGGGGGAACCAGAAACCTAGATTTGTGGCCAAAAGTAAAAACCAAAGAAAAAATAGTGATTCGGTGGTTAGTTGGTGAAAGATGGATATCTGGTGCCCTTCACTTTTTGTCCCTCTTCTTCAGCCCATCCATGTTAGCTCTCAATAGATTTGAGTAAGCCATCTGAAACTTGTTCACTTCTTTGGAGCTCACCACAGTGCTGATCTTCTTTTTCCCATCAGTAGCTCTTAACAGACACTTGTTGTCTGAGGGCTCAAAGCCCTCTACAGAACCCTTCCTTGGATTCGGTTTAGTTCGACCATCATACTTCTTCAGGGTGATGAACACGCTGCCCGACAACCGGCACTTCTGAAACAGTCTGGTCAGCTCCGTCAGGAACTGCTCGCTCTCCAGGAGCACCATCCCGGCGCCGCTAGCTCCCTGGCGTCAGCGTAAGGCCCAAGCAATTCGGCTGTCCTGAGTTCTGATGAACAGTATACTTTTCCTAGTTCACTGTCCCCAGTGCTATCTGTGAAAGGAATATTGGGGAAGAGTCTCCTGTTTGTAGCTGTTCTGCCTTACATACCCACTTCCTATTGGAATGGGATGGGGCCTTAGGATTTGCCTTAAAATGAAGCAAACACGGATCACTTATTACCAGACAGGGGATTTTCTAGCTAATTTCTTTAACTCTCTCACCTTTTTCCTTCAGATTGCATGTGTAAGGACTCTATTAGCTATTAACCAATGCCAGAAATCTTGGCATATTCTCATTCTTGAATTTAAACCCCACTTTTTGTCTTCTCTCTTAACACTGGTTCTAGGGACTCTAGCTATCCCACTAAGCCTTAATGTAAATGTCACCCATCTAAACCTTGGCCTTAACCTCAGAGCTGTAGTAATGAAACAGTCTGAGCAGTGAGCTTAGGCTAACTGGCTATGGAATGTAACCCCTATTACTTGGGGCTGTACTTGGGGCTGTATCCCAATCAAAAGGGGGAGGTAGACTATTACGTTTGTCAAGCAGGGAATGCTTAAAAAGAGAAGTGCTTGGGATGGACCAGGCTCTTCCAATAGCCAATAATTTCCTATTCCATGCAACATAAGGTAGAAAATCATTTTTACAAATCAGCAAGATGCATGAGTATCTGATCATCTGTGGTCTGAAATTGCTTGATATGTAGAAAGGAAAGGAAAGAAAAGCAGAAAGGAAATTTCTTTAAGTTTTTTTCTGGAGGTTGTTCCTCTTATCTAAGTAGAGAAGTAGCCAGCATGCCTTCTACTAAATCCACAGAAGTTCAATGAGCATATGGTCCAAGTCCCATGAAATAAACCAACTTCTTACCCACCACATTACCTAGCAGGCAGAAGAAAAATCCTCATTGCCCCTCCCCACTACTAATTCACTGTATCAGCTGGGAATGCTGTCATGATCAGTAACAAAAGCTCAACTTACCATGGCTTAAGAAATAAGAATTTATGGGCGCCTGGGTGACTCAGTGGGTTAAGCCTCGCCTTTGGCTCAGGTCATGATCTCAGGGTTCTGGGATCAAGCCCTTCATCAGGCTCTCTGCTCAGCAGGGAACCTGTTTCCCCCTCTCTCTTTGCCTGCCCCTCTGCCCACTTGTGATCTATCTCTCTATCAAATAAATAAATAAAATCTTTTTTTAAAAAAGAAATAAGAATTTACTGGGGCACCTGGGTGGCTCAGTTGGTTAAGTGATCGACTCTTGCTTGATCTCAGCTCAGGCTTGGATCTCAAGGTCATGAGTTCAAGCCCCACATTGGGTTCCATGCTGGGTGTGGAGCCTACTTTAAAAAGAGAGAAAAAGAATAGAAAGAAGGATTTATTTATCTCACATTATAATAAGTACTGAGATAAGCAGGTACAGGGCTCCAGTACCGACTTCAAGTACCCAGATTCTTCTTTCTGCTCAATGATCGTTAGCATGTTGGCTTATCACATTATAGTGGGTTGAATGTAGTGGGTTGAATCCTAACCCACAGAACCTATTAATATGAATTTATTTGGAAAAAGAGTCTTTTAGGTATAACTAAGTTAAGAACCTTGAAATGAGATCACCCTAGATTATCTGGGTTGGCTCTAAAAACAATGACAATTGTCCTTATAAGAGAAAAAAGAGAAGGCATAGGTACACAGAGGGAAGGCCTCATGAAAATGGAGACAGATAGTGCAGTTATACAACCACAAGCCAAGGAACTCCTGGAACCAACAGAAGCTGGTGCCTTCAGAGGGAGTGCAGCTTTTCCAACACCTTGATTTTGGACTTCTGGCCTCCAGAATTATGAAGAAATAAGTTTTTGGGTTTTTTTTTTCCCCAGCTACCGTATTTGTAGTAGTTTGTTACCATCTTGGCTGCTATCCTGCCAAGCATCATGTCAGAGTTGCTGCTAGCCATCTCTGTCCCTTCTCTCAGGGAAAAAAGAGATCTTCCAGAAGTCTGGATAGTTGAATGCGGTAGGCAGAGTTTTGGCCCCTATCACTTTTGTCCTCCATTGTTACTCCTGTAACTAAGTTCCATAGCAGGAAAGACAGTAATCTTAATTACTAACCAATTGACCTTAAAATAGAGATATCCTGGATTATCTGGGTGTGCCTAGTGTAATCACATGGGCCCCTCAAAGAAGCAAGGAAGAAAGAAGAGACAGAGAGATCTGAAACATGAGGAAGATTCAAGAAACTGTTGCTGGCTTGAAGATGGAGCGGGCTACCGGGAGAGTGTGAGATAGAAATGGATTCTGTCAAAAACCAGTAAGCCTGAATGAGCATCCAAGCTCCAGATGAGAACTACAGCCCCAGTTGATGCCTGATTAGCCCTGTGTAACCCCAAATGGAGCATCCAGTCATGCTGTGTGGGGCTTCTAACCTTCTGAACTCACACATAATAAATGGGTGTTGTTTTAAGCTGCTAAGTGATAATTTGGGGTAATTTGTTAAGCAATAAGAAATGAATCCACTAAACTGCACCTGGCAACCTCCACTTGCCTATTTCCTTTTTTTTTTTTTTAAGATTTTATTTATTTATTTGACAGAGATCACAAGTAGGCAGAGAGGCAGGCAGAGACACAGAGAGGGGGAAGCAGGCTCCTCGCTGAGCAGAGAGCCCGATGCAGGGCTTAATCCCAGGATCCTGGGACCATGACCTGAGCTGAAGGCAGAGGCCTAACCCACTGAGCCATCCAGTGCCCCTGCTTAATACTTTTTTTAAAAAAAGATTTTATTTATTTATTTGAAAGAGAGAGAGCACAAGCCAGGGGAGGGGCAGAGGGAGAGGGAGAAGTAGACTCCTCACTGGGCAGGGAACCCGATGTGGGGGTCAATCCCAGGACCCTAGAATCATGACCAGGGCCGAAGGCAAACGTTTAACTAACTGAGCCAGTCAGGTGCCCCCAAGCTTAATACTTAAAAAAAAAAAAAAAAAATCCTAAAATTCTTAAATTTCTTAATACTTAAAAAATATATTATTTATCTTTTCCAGTTCCTGCAATAGAGGAGGCAAAGGAGAAGGGGACTGGGGAGGGAGCCATCTGTGTCCACTGTACACCCCGTGACTTGGCTAATTCCAGTTTATGGCCTTTCACTTACAGGTTGCTACTTCCAGGCACTGATCTCTATATTAGCAACAATTCTTTTCATTTTGATAGATTTAGCTTAGGCAAAAAGAGATACATAGACTCTGTTAACCTATCTGGTGAAAGGTCAAAATGGAGCTGATTCAGGGATACCTAGAACCCCTCCCTGGAGTTTTAGAGAATTAATAATGACAGCTAACGTTTGTTGAGTGCTTACTAAGTCCAGTGCAGAGCTATGTATCATTTCATGTCATCTTCGCAGTAACCCTGTGAGGTACCCACCAATATCAACCCCATGTTGCAGACGTGTTGCAGATAAGGAAATTGAGTCAGAAGGAGCTTAAGTGACTTTCCTAAGGTGTCTTCCTGCAGGCTTTACCTCATGAGATGGAGCCCCTGGGTGAATGGTGTTCCCTGGGAGCCTGGTTCATCCTCTGAGAGGAGTTCCTCTGCATCTTTCTACCACAGAGAAGGGCTTTGTGAGAAATCAAGAAGAAGAAGAGGCCTTAGAAGAGGAAGATGACAGTAGTGAAGAGTGTGATAAGGCTAAGAACAAGACAAAAGAGCAGAAGACACAGGACAGGGAAAATGAGGAAGAGAGAGAAAAGGAAGAGGAGCAAGAGCACGAGGAGGATGAGACAGAGAGGCAGGAGTCAAGACCAGCCTCTGAGACTGGGTCTCTGCCCCTTCCCAACCTTCATGTGCTCTCAGGTGCTGACCCAGAGCTGGGTCCTCAGCTCCAGAAGGCAGCTGCCAATGGTGAGAACAGGTCCCCATCCACCATGTCCCCCTTCTGTGGCCCCACAAATCTCTCACCCCAAGACTGACCTCAGCTCCCATCCTTAAGCCAGGCACTAACTTGTGGAAGAGCCCTGAGGGGATCCTCCTATTAGCCAGTGGAGAGCTGGTCAGAGCCAGATTTTGTGTGGCGGGAGGGGCGGGGTGCTGGCATGGTGGGTAGGGTGTCCTTGTCTCCCCCTCACAGGCCTGCCCGTGCTACTGACCAATATGGAGCTGGGCCTAGGGTGCCAAGAACTGCAATGGCTACTGCAGCGGGAGGAGCTGAGCCCTCCCCAGGTACAGCCTGGCTTCTGTCTCTATCTGAGCACTACTGTCCCCCTCAGTGCCTTGGAAAAAGGTGAGCCCTGGTGGGTAAGTTGCCACCACAGCTTTGTGGACACAGTGGGCCTCCTGACTCCCTCAGTCTGGCCCCGGGCAGGATCAGGACTGTGGTCCGGAGCCATACGCCCAGTACACCCCACCCACTGGCTTTGTCAAGGAGAAAGCTTAAGCATCTCCCATGTGACCCCAAGTGCTAGGTTATGAATTGCTGAAGGGGATGAATGTGCTGGATCTGAGCCTCAACATGGATACCCTAGAAGACCAGATGCTGCATGAAATCTTGTGTGCAGAGTGTCCCGAGCTCAAGAACCGCTGGGAGGACCTAAAGACCAGAGCCCTGGACAGCTGTGAAGCTGTGAAGGCTGCTGAGGTGCCCGGGGGTCCCGGTTATGGGTGGGCGTGAGCTTTGGAGGGGCCCAGGTACGGGGGCAGAGGTGAGTGTGGATGGTTGCGGACTGTGTGGGAAAGGGTCAGACCCATGGAACAGGTGGCTGTTTGCAGGAGCGGCTGCTGCTGATGCTGCTTCTCCAGAATCCAAAACATCAGAAACCAGCTAAATTCCTGCGGGACATGGTGAGGGCCCAGGCAGAGCTATGTCAGCTGCGTGCCCGCTGCGAGGATCTAGAAGACCTGAGACTGCAGGAGGTGGCCTTGTGGGCACCCTATCGGCATGTGGTCTGGCACGGAATGGCCATAATAAAGGCCCTTAGCCCACTGCAGAACCTGCTGCCCCTTTTCCGCATGAG